ATATAAGCTCATTGGTAGATAAACTTATGGTGTGCCTCAATATTTGAATTAAGTTTAAAATCCACCAATGCATTTATACGACACGTCACGGTGGTGAATTCAGGTCCTCGAATGAGCCAGACGCCATTGACCGTTGATCACTAATCGTCAACGATCGCAATAAAATTTAAAGAACAATCCTTTCCTAAAATAGACGCGTGAAAGTAGTGATAGGTCACGTCATCTATTTTGTCTATGTTAAGCATTATATTTTTATCACATGTCATGTAATAATAAATTATCATGTATCTATCAATATGTCTTTTTTTATGTTAACAAATCTAACCAAATAGTTATGCGGGATAACACCACTTGTTAGAGAATAATGAAGATGAGATTATGATAAAATATGAAGTAGCAATCACAACACAAGAATAGTTGAGACGAATGAAGAATTTATTAATATGAAGAAAGAATATAAAAATATTGTGTTTTTAACTTGATTCTAACTCAATCAAAATCATGTGAAAGTAATACAATTCGTAGACTACATATAGGACCCAGATAGAATACATTATAAGTGTAAAGAGGATAAAAAAGAGCCAAAAATAAGGAAACAATATTTTCTCGTATATATAGTTGCTTGAGTGGTAGCCTCGCTGGAAGCGAGCGTCACAACACTGCTCGACCGCTAGGCAGACGATAGCTTAGGCTCCTCCAATGGGGTCCAGGCACTGAGTTTCGCGTTAAACTTTACTTTTTGACCTATTAACACCTTTTTCAACTGAAATATTCCAATGTAATTTGGATCACAATATTTAATAAATCTCCACCTTGACACAAATTTCAATGCAATGAACGAAACTTCAGAAATTTCTCCATTGGAGACAAATTCAACTACAAGGAATAAACCAATGACTCTTCAACAAAAAAAAAAAACTCTCCAACAAAAAATTCATCCCCCTCTTCCATAGAGTCCAACTAGGACACATTCAATCAAATGAATCCAAGCACTATTTAGCATAATTACCTCAGGTACCAAAATTTGCATGAATTATCGCCACGAGTAACAAAATCACAAATAATTCAAAAGTTACCAAACGGGGCCAAAACACGCAACGAAACAATATCAACACAAGCAAATGCTCTTGTTGAAGATTATTTGCTAAACTCGATACTTTCAACTACACTCAATGCATACACCACTAAATTAGCTTTCCTACACATTTGTGGAGGCCTAATATCTCTCCTGAGTTTGTCTCTAGCAATTGACTACGATAGCACCACTGGTGGTAGTGGCAAGAGGCATTATCCATAACCTCTAAACTCGACTGAGATGTATTCTTCAACACAGACCTCAAACTAAACTCTAACGGTACTGTACCAAATTGAATATCTATCAAAATACTAAACCTGTGCTGATTAATCTTCAAAGATTTTTCACAGCATTGTAAGACATACAACTGGGACCTTCATTGCCCATCTAACACAACATGAGCACCTTCACAAACTTTCAAGACTCCACCTTCATCAATAAACTTGTACTATTTTGAATCAAGAGTAGTCAAAGAGATAAAATTCTCTTCAAATCTGGAACGCGTCTCTCTGTGTCAAGCGTTTTGACAATCACATCCAACTTCTTAAGTCTGACCCTTCCAATACCAACTACCTTACGGGATGCTTTGTTGCCCATAACTACACCACCTTTCAAAACTTTTTCATATGTTGAAAATAAATTCCGATTGGGACACATGAAAAGTGCAAGGTGTAACAAGAATCCAATTCTCGTCGGTTTGGAATTGCCGTAAAAAATAATCAAAAGTTCTCCATCACCCAAACAATTCTCTGCAAAATCGGTTTCACATGAAGTTTCTGATTAGCTTCCCTTCGATTTGTAGCCAATTTTTCTTTATTCTGCAACTTGTAGTAGTCTTTTTAAATATGTCACTTTTTCTTGCAATGGTTACAAACATTATTACTGAAGTTAGATTTCGATCTTTCCCTCTCATTACCACCATGAACAACAAAACATTTTCGTTGAACTTCAGATCCAACTAGATTATTCATCTTCTCCTTTGAAAATAAATCATCATATACTTCTTCAACGGTAAGAGTTTCACAACTATATAATATCGAGTCTCTAAACGATATATATGAAACGGACAACGAACACAATAAAATCAAACCCAAATAATCTTCATCATACTTAATCTCCGATGTTCCCAAATCAGCAACAATTTCTTTAAAGACATCAAAGTTATTTTCTAAGGATGTACCTTTTGTCATACGATGCTTCAGGTGTAATTTACTAGTTAGACTCTTAGTCATGCACAATTGCTCAAACTTCAACCATAACGCAGCTGGGGTTTTCTTCTTCAGAAAGACCTGAAAAAATATGATTCGAAAGATGAAGATGAATCTGTGATAGGACCTTTCGACACGTACGTTGTTTCTCCTCTTGCGTCCATTATAGGCATCTTATCAAATCCCAATAATGCATCATTTAAATCCATGTGAGTAATCACTATTAGCTTCTTCATTGCCACAATGAAAATTCAATGCTGCAATCCAGAAGCAGAATATTATACTTCATGATTGTCATCAAGAACAAACCTCAAACATTAAGATTTGATACCATTTGTTAACAAATCTAACCAAGTAGTTATGGGCGTCAACACCACTTGTTAGAGAATAACGAAGGCGATGTTATGACAAAATATGAAGTAATAATCACAACAGAAGAACAATTGGCAAAGAAATGAAAAATTTATTAATATAGAGAAAGAATATAAAACATTGTGTTTTCAACTTGATTCTAACTCATACAAAGTCATATAAAAGTTATTTATTCATGGACTATATATTTGACCCAAAAGAATACGTTATGGTGGAAAGATGATAAAAATCGAGTCAAAAATAAGGAAATAACATTTTCTAGGATACATAGTCGCTCGGACGACAACTTCGCGGGAAGCAAGCGCAAGGCAGGCGACAGCTTAGGCGCCTCCAATGGCGTCCAAAGTGTTGAGTTTCGGGTTGAATTTCACTTTTTAATCTCTTTAGTACCTTCTTCAACCAAAACACCACTTTTCAACGGAATTGGGATCACAATATTCAACGACATATTATATATGAGTTAACATGTATGAATACGCATGGGTCTTGTAGTATGCCGCCAATAGAAGTAAGAAAGGGAAATATTTTTTTAATCTACAGGCACATTTTTTCTTGTAAGTTTCATAATTCTTTTAAAGTTTATAATTTTGTTATTAAAAGCTAATCCTAAAAGGAAAACGATAGTACTAGATGTACATTTCTTGTTCACATGAATGATGACACCCTCTTATATGGTTGAAATCTGACCAATGAATTGATGGAGTATGTTTAAAATTAAAGATCATGATTGTTGTCACTTTATTGAATGTCAAACTTAATGTCACAAAAAAAGTACATGTAACATGATTGAAAGGATAATGACCTTTAAATCTTCTATACTGTACAAAATACATGTTGGGTAATAGAGGTAGGAGCGGAGTGTGTTGGTTCTCATGTGATACAAATTCTGCTTTTTATACCTTGAAATGACAACTACTCAGAACTTCAAGCACAAATAGAGAACGACTGTCCTAAGAGCACAAAGTGAATTCACTGAGTTTGGATAATGTAAATTAGCATTTAATTCTCTCCTTGTATATTTGATATTACAATAGACATTTTTGGATCAAGAACAACCTACTTATACTAATTGATGTAATTAGGATATAATCAAATTAAAATTTTGTAATACTATTATTAACTACACGGGATAATGTTAAGGTATATGTATAACAAGTCATAGTAACAACTTCTTGTCAATTTTATTCCCTATTTGCCAAATAACTGAAACAACTAAAAATCAAATCAAGTAATCGTCCATTCATTGCACCTCAATATCGAAACGAAAAAAAATCTAACAATGTAATTCCTTTTCCTTATATACTGTTGGTAGGTATGAAAGTCTGAGTCAAATATCTTATTACAAAATTCTTATTCATGCCTGCACAAGATCAAGTTGGAATAAGAATTATAATCCATGTTTGGCTCCTATTTTTATTTTTTTAAAATCATTTTCAATTACATATTTCATGGACCCAAAATTCTTATTCATGCCTGCACAAGATCGAGTTGGAATAAGAATTATAATCCATGTTTGGCTCCTATTTTTATTTTTTTTAAATCATTTTCAACTACATATTTCATGGGGTCCACAATTTTTTATCAACTTTTAACTATACACATCATCAATTTTATCAAAATTTACTAAAAATCTTATTCTTCACAAAATCAGACAAGACTAAGGCTTTTTCTAAAACATTTTTAAACAAGCCAAAAGTTAGTAAACAAAAATATTCCACTTAGGCCATAAAAGGCCTTTTTAATAAAATTTGCCAGGAGAGCCCCCTACTCTTCCCTAAAACCCTCGCTCCTTGTCTGTGTATATATATTCATCCAAAACCTTAGCCTCTTCTAGCAGGAAAAAAGAAGGAAAGAAAAATAGAAAGAAAAGCGGAGGGACCCTTCTGTTAATCCGCCGAGACAATTTCAGGTAACAGTAAAAATGTGTATTTCCTGTGCAAAGAAAAAAAATGATTTGAAGAAGAAAAGCTGGAAATTTGAAGTATGTTCTACCTCCTTTGAACAATTTGTT